ATTTTTTCATAAATGAACAAACTTAATGTGTCTAGCTTTTGTAAAAGACATCTAACCTCTAACCTAATTTAGTATATTATCATTTGAAACTCTTTTTTCTATCACTATGTAAATAGATATGGTTACAAATTAAAGAAAAATCATATATTTACATACTGATAGAAAAAAGCTCTAACCTAATTTGCCTCTTTAGGAATAAAAATCATATATAGTTTTCTATCAATATGTAAATTTTTTTGTCTTTTTATTATTTAATATTTGCCTCTTTAGGAATAAAATAGTTTTTTAAAAAAATTATGTAAATGTTTAACTTATATTTTATTAGATGTTTTCTATCATAATCATGTTAATTAGGTGATAATCCATATCATGCAAATGGATAATTATATTTCAATTGACAATATAAATTTATTTAAAAGCGACAATTCGAATTACAATTTAGTTTCGTTTTATCGATTTTTATTAGAAAACATTTTAATATTATTTGTAATTCGATTTAATTTTGGTTTTGATTGACTAGTTTATAAATATTTGTCAATATGTAATTTCAATTTGATATCCAAAATTTGGAGAAACGATTTGGTTTGCAGTTTTGTTGAACTGGCCTATTTTCAAGAAACATCTAAATTCCATAATTTGCAAAACATTTTCTTGGTCGGTAAACTATCTTTCTTACATTTTATTTTTCAACTAAGAAAAAAGGTCAACGCAAAGAGGCTTTGACGTCTCTTATCTTCTGAAGACAACGTTGAGCATTTTCAAGAACCATTTCAACTCTATTTTTTCTCTTTGTGACTACCTTTTGAACGATCTTCTGGATCTTTCCCGTTGATGACGACGATGATGCTTCATCTCCACAAGTTTCCTTGACGTACTTTCTCTTCTTGTGTTTTTGCTTATTCTTACAAGTTGATGACTCTGTCCAATGCATTAACAATAACTTACTGGCTTCTAACACAATACCATATACGAGTAACGAGATCTAGACTAGCACTAATATTCAATTTATCAAGCCATGAGTCAAGATCGTAACTATCATATATGACTAAGTACCAAATAGTTTATAGTCTGTTTACTACTTAACCACCTTTGTTGATATACTAGGTACTTGTACACTATTTGAACTAATTTTGTTTTATTTTCTATATACTTCACATGTATACAAATCACAAATTAAGTTTGGATGGTAACAAATGACAATATTAATAAAAACACTAGCTTTACAAATTTAAGTAAGAGATTAGTAGTTAATATGTAAATTATCAGAAAATATTCAAGATTGCTTTATCTTTTTCAAGATTTCTAGAGAACATAACCAAATAAAGGATTCATGTTTTTAAAAAGAAAAATATTTTTCCAGAC